TGCCAGAATGGATTGGGGGTGCTGACTTAAGTGAAGGAATACATCCCTCCCAAGTATCCCTGTTTAGGATGGACAGTCCCTATTCTCAGCACAAACCCCTCTGATTCTCTTTTCACTCCTAATGTTCTTGGAGCTCCATATTGATGGTGTGTCTGAGTGTATAACAGAGCCCCACAGTAATGATACTCCTAGTAATGTGTCTGAGTGTATAACAGAGCTCCACAGCAATGATACTCCCAGTAATGTGTCTGAGTGTATAACAGAGCTCCACAGCAATGATACTCCCAGTAATGTGTCTGAGTGTATAACAGAGCTCCACAGCAATGATACTCCCAGTAATGTGTCTGAGTGTATAACAGAGCTCAACAGCAATGATACTCCCAGTAATGTGTCTGGGTGTATTACAGAGCTCCACAGCAATGATACTCCCAGTAATGTGTCTGAGTGTATAACAGAGCTCCACAGCAATAATACTCCCAGTAATGTGTCTGAGTGTATAACAGAGCTCCACAGCAATAATACTCCCAGTAATGTGTCTGAGTGTATAAGAGAGCCCCACAGCAACAATACTCCCAGTAATGTGTCTGAGTGTATAGCAGAGCTCCACAGAAACAATACTCCCAGTAATGTGTCTGAGTGTATAACAGAGCTCCACAGCAATAATACTCCCAGTAATGTGTCTGAGTGTATAACAGAGCTCCCCAGCAATAATACTCCCAGTAATGTGTCCGTGTATAACAGAGCTCCACAGCCATAATACTCCCAGTAATGTGTCTGAGTGTAAAACAGAGCTCCACAGCAATAATACTCCCAGTAATTGATCTGAGTGTATAACAGAGCTCCCCAGCAATAACACTCCCAGTAATGTGTCTGAGTGTATAACAGAGCCCCCCAGCAATAATACTCCCAGTAATGTGTCTGAGTGTATAACAGAGCCCCCCAGCAATAATACTCCCAGTAATGTGTCTGAGTGTATAAAAGAGCTCCACAGCTATAATACTCCCAGTAATGTCTGAGTGTATAACAGAGCTCCACAGCAATAATACTCCCAGTAATGTGTCTGAGTGTATAACAGAGCTCCACAGCAATAATACTCCCAGTAATGTGTCTGAGTGTATAACAGAGCACCACAGTAATAATACTCCCAGTAATGTGTCTGAGTGTATAACAGAGCTCCACAGCAATAATACTCCCAGTAATGTGTCTGAGTATATAACAGAGCTCCACAGCAATAATACTCCCAGTAATGTCTGAGTGTGTAACAGAGCTCCACAGCAATAATACTCCCAGTAATGTGTCTGAGTGTATAGCAGAGCTCCACAGCAATAATACTCCCAGTAATGTGTCTGAGTGTATAACAGAGCTCCACAGCAATAATACTCCCAGTAATGTGTCTGAGTGTATAACAGAGCTCCACAGCAATAATACTCCCAGTAATGTGTCTGAGTGTATAACAGAGCTCCACAGCAATAATACTCCCAGTAATGTGTCTGAGTGTATAACAGAGCTCCACAGCAATAATACTCCCAGTAATGTGTCTGAGTGTATAACAGAGCTCCACAGCAATAATACTCCCAGTAATGTGTCTGAGTGTATAACAAAGCTCCACAGCAATAATACTCCCAGTAATGTGTCTGAGTGTATAACAGAGCTCCACAGCAATAATACTCCCAGTAATGTGTCTGAGTGTATAACAGAGCTCCACGTTAATAATACTCCCAGTAATGTGTCTGAGTGTATAACAGAGCTCCACAGCAATAATACTCCCAGTAATGTGTCTGAGTGTATAACAAAGCTCCACAGTAATAATACTCCCAGTAATGTGTCTGAGTGTATAACAGAGCTCCACAGCAATGATACTCCCAGTAATGTATGTTTAAACTATAATAAATGTGTTCAGTCTGTGTGTAAATAAGCTACATTGTTCTTCTAAATTACATTGTTATGAATGTTACCCAACATTTCTCAGAACAGCCCCACCCGTGGCCACATCCCCAGTCACACCACTGAAATGAAAATATCTTAGTATATTTGAAATATTGGGAGGCATTGTTGAGGGTTATTTTTCAATATTGATAAAATAAAGTGTGTCTTGACATAACCCGGCTGAATGTGTCACAGTCCTATTGCTAAGCTCCCAATGACATAACGGAGAGAGTGATAAACTGCTTCTCCAGTTAACCATTTACCGTGTCAGAGAGAGGCTGGGAGGGCATGCCACCTCTCTCACACTGTACGCACTGACCATGTGGACATCTCAGCTGTGTAAAGGGCAGTCCTGCAAACGGTGTCAGTCTGGGTGCTTTCACAACCGTGGGAAAAACATGGCCGAAAACAGGGAAACGAGTATTTTGTCTGCAAGCTCTCCGCAGTGTGCCCATGCAGTAATGGCCGGAATGTATTGATGCCCAGCGTTCATTTATACTAATGCACAGCCATGGTGCATTGACAAATCAAAAGCGTATATTTATTATCATACTGATTTTCTCTTTCTGGGGTATACTTCCCAAATCAGGACTAACCTGTTGGGTCAGGGACCATTGGGACGTACATGACTGACTGTTAAGTAACCAGGTGTAGCTGTATGTTTATTAACCCAACCTCTGCTATTGCACACATTAAAAATCTTACACAACATACTGTCAGGTCACAGGTCAGCTTTAGGTATCGTTTTATATTTCAATATAAATGTATCTGCCTTTAACTGTCCTGGCTATATTAGTAAGTCCTGCGTTATTTCAATTAGACAGTGTTTCCCACAGTTACTGTATGTCCTGTATTCAGAGAGCAGGCAGATCATAGCTGAGATCCCAGGTTAAACATTAAGCCTGATCTCTGCAGGAGGTTTCAGAGCACACAGTTGAATGGGGAGAGTGAGAGATGGATAGGGGCACTGGATTAAAGTTTAACCCTGTCACTTTGGACCAGGAGACTGACTGTAACAGAGGGCAATGTTTGGGACAAGGTATCGGGAAGATGGATTGATGCTAATCATGAAATCCATCAACATATCCAGGATGTCCAGGAACAGAACCCATAATTAGTGTATAGACAGATATAAACGAGGAGGAATGTTGGGTCATTTTCAATATTTACTAGTTTGAACAACATAGATGAATTATTTATAACAAACTCTAAACTTTAAGTATTCATTCTGAAAAAAATATGTCGTTTTACAAAAGAGTGCTTGCATTTAATTGGAATGAGTCTAATTCTTGGTTATGAAATCACTGTTTAAGTGCAATGGTTCTGAGTGCGTTTCGACATATATTGACCTAAATGAACATGGCACTAGTAGATCATTCTCCATTGGTAAATGAAGCCCAGTGTAGTATTTAGCTCTGAATTTATAATATGTAAATAGTACATTAAACCATTTATGAGACTCACACCAGTGTCAGGCTCCCCATTGCTCTGAAATACCATATTGTGTCAGTTAACCAATGACTAACAGGTATAACAGCAGTGATGTAATAGTAATCCACTGTAAGAATATTGTAACATGTTATAACTGTAATACAATAATAATATCGCTTCGGAGCTGTATATGAGGACACCAGAGACCAAGTGCACAGGAAGCACAGAGCTCATCTCCCAGCATTCAATGTCAAACACAATCTACCCACCAAGCAGCCGCTTTATACCGTATTAGTCGTGTGGGTAGCCGGTATGATCATATTTGTTATTAGTCGTGTGGGTAACCGGTATGATCATATTTGTTATTAGTCGTGTGGGTAACCGGTATGATCATATTTGTTATTAGCCGTGTGAGTAACCGGTATGATCATATTTGTTATTAGTCGTGTGGGTAACCGGTATGATCATATTTGTTATTAGTTGTGCGGGTAACCGGTATGATCATATTTGTTATTAGCCGTGTGGGTAACCGGTATGATCATATTTGTAATTAGTCATGTGGGTAACCGGTATGATCATATTTGTTATTAGCCTTGTGGTAACCGGTATGATCATATTTGTTATTAGTTGTGTGGGTAACCGGTATGATCATATTTGTTATTAGTCGTGTGGGTAACCGGTAAGATCATATTTGTTATTAGTCGTGTGGGTAACCGGTATGATCATATTTGTTATTAGTTGTGTGGGTAACCGGTAAGATCATATTTGTTATTAGTCGTGTGGGTAACCGGTAAGATCATATTTGTTAATAGTCGTGAAGGTAACCGGTATGATCATATTTGTTATTAGTCGTGTGGGTAACCGGTAAGATCATATTTGTTATTAGTCATGTGGGTAACCGGTATGATCATATTTGTTATTAGCCGTGTGGGTAACCGGTATGATCATATTTGTAATTAGTCATGTGGGTAACCGGTATGATCATATTTGTTATTAGCCTTGTGGTAACCGGTATGATCATATTTGTTATTAGTTGTGTGGGTAACCGGTATGATCATATTTGTTATTAGTTGTGTGGGTAACCGGTATGATCATATTTGTTATTAGCCGTGTGGGTAACCGGTATGATCATATTTGTAATTAGTCATGTGGGTAACCGGTATGATCATATTTGTTATTAGCCTTGTGGTAACCGGTATGATCATATGGTCAGGGTACCTGTTGGTGATGTATCCAGGGAGGACATCCTCTCTGCTTAGGGCCTCCCCTAGCATTTCGGCATATTCCGGCCGTTTTTCGCGCCGGCCGCGCTAGCTCCTCCCCCTTTTATGACGCGACGCCTAGCGTCGACGTCATGACGTCGGCATTTGCATAAAGTGCCGGGAACCGCTATTCCGGACCTTTTGGGGGCGTGGTCTCTATTTAGGTAACAGGGTATTTAAAGGAAGCCTTTACTACTGCTCATTGCCCTGTCGTGGTTCTAGCTTGCTAGTCACTCAGCGCGTTCTTTATCTTGTGTTTCCGGTTTTGACCCTT